CGTCCCGTGGCTGGCAGGCGTGTGGGGAACGAGAAGACCCTGCCCTGCCTGCTGGGGGCACAAGGAGCTCTCCCCTTCTCCCAAACCTGCAACCTCCTGGCTGCTCTGAGCAGGGTGTGGGGGGGATTCTACTTTTCTGGACCATGACTAGCAGGATGGTGGCTGGGGCCGCAGGCAGTGGGTGAGGGACTCTTGTTGTTGCAGATGCGGGTGACCTTCGAGGAGGTGGCTGTGTATTTCACCCAGGGGCAGGGGGCGCTGCTGGGCCCCGCTCAGAGAGCCCTCTACAGGGACGTCATGCAGGAGAACTACGAGGCGGTGACCTCGCTGGGTAAGGGCGTCCTGGCCCCTCGGGGATTAGGAGCCGTGGGGTCTGCGTGTCCGACACGGGTCAGGTTCTTCCCTGCTCAGGTGGCCTGGACAGGAATGGGTTCCATGGGCACAGCTGCCGGGGGAGAGCGACTTGCATCTCCGCACCCTGTGCAGTGAGACCAGGGTGTCAAACCCTAATGGACGTGCTAAATCATCCCCACCCAGCCCCTCTAGATTTCAAGGCGCGGGTGGGGGGGGCATGTATTCTCCTGTCTGTGTTGTTTTTCACTCGCACCCAGAATCCCTGTTCCCCTCCGTCCAGCTCTGGGCTCTGCAGGCTTAGAAACAGGCAGGGCTTTAACAGCAGAGCTGTGAGTGTCAGCAAGGGCCCCAGACTGCCCAGATCCTGGGAACTCCTAGAGAGGGCGTCACAATTCCTCTCACCTCCCCACACGTCTGCCTCTCCCCAGGGGGCTCAGTGACCATGTTCCCGTCCTCTTGGGTTGCACATTCCCCAGCAGAGCCCGGGGACAGGTTCCACTCACGGAATGTCCCTTGGGACAGACGCTCTCCCCACCCTCCATGCGCCCTGACCTGCTCTGATTTCACCCCCTGCGCAGGGTTTCCCGTTCCCAAACCTGAGCTGATCGCCCGGCTGGAACGAGGGGAAGAGCCCTGGGAGCCCGACCTCCAGGCCAGGGATGAAAGAGAGATCCTGAGAGGCACCCGCACAGGTGAGGACTCACACAGCATCTGGCATCCTTACATGTAGGGCAGGGTGTGGTCAGCTGATATTGCTCACGGTTTTCCACCAATCTTGTTAGGTGCAGGAGTTTCCCTGTGAGTGCTTGTGGGGAAGCGGAGGGACAAGCCAAATGCTGGGTCTGAGCAACATCAGTGTGTTGGGTTTTCCCTTGGTGCTGTTCCTCTGTCTACCCAGCTAAATGACTTTTGCCTGGATTGTCTCTCTCCCAGCAGGTGATGGGACAGGGAGTGAGAATGAAGAGAGGAACCAACCAAAGGAAGCTTCTGGGGAAATGGAACCGCAGGCGGCCTTTGTGGGAAGAGCTGAAGGGAATGTTTCCCAGTGCTTGGAACAGGGAGAGGTCAGGGGAAACTGGCACAGGTCGGAGAGGCTCCTGGGGAACCACACAAGTGAGGAAATGGATGAATCTGTTAAATGTGGGGAAGGACACAAGCATCCCACAGCCCCGCAGACAAACCCCAAGGAAGAGAAACACCAGGAATGGCGCAATTTTGGGAAGGGATTTATTGTGAGCCCAGAGCTTATTACAGTGCAGACAGTAGATAATGGAGAAAAAAACCCTCAGTGCTTGGACAGTGGGGAAGACATCAATAACAGCTCAGATCTTACTACTGATGGTGGAAGCCAAATAGTAGAGAGAGGCTCTCAGTGTCCTGAGGGAGGCAACAGTTTGATTTGGACGTCGGCCCTGAAGACACGAGAAACAAGCCACACAGAAGAAAGACCCCATAAGTGCGTAGATTGTGGGAAAACGTTCAAAAGAAAGTCAGCCCTTGTTAATCATCTGGTAGTCCACACAGGGAAGAGACCCCACAACTGCTTAGACTGTGGAAAAAGTTTCCTGAAGAGGTCACTCTTTGTTAAACATCAGGCAGCCCACGGTGGAAACAGACCCCATAAGTGTTTAGATTGTGGGAAAAGTTTCAAATGCAAATCAACTCTTGTTGCACATCAGGCAATCCACACAGGAGAGAAACCCCATCAGTGCTTAATCTGTGGAAAAAATTTCACACAGAGGTCGTCCCTTGTTGTACATCTGAAAATCCACACAGGAGAGAGACCCCATAAGTGCTTAGACTGTGGGAAAAGTTACATACAGAGATCAGACCTCGTTAAACATCGGGCCATGCACACAGGAGAGAGATCCCATAAATGCTTGGAATGTGGGAAAAGTTTCACAGGCAGGTCAAACCTTCTTTCTCATCAGGCAATCCACACTGGAGAGAGACCTCATAAGTGCTTATATTGTGGCAAAGATTTCATATGGAAGACCTCTCTTGTTGCACATCAGGCAATCCACACAGGAAAGAGACCCCATAAATGCTTAGACTGTGGAAGAAATTTTATAAGGAGACTCGATCTTGTTTACCATCAGGCTACCCACACAGGAGAGAGACCCCATAAGTGCTTAGAGTGTGGGAAAAGTTTCATACGGAAGATAGACCTTGTTTACCATCAAGGAATCCACACAGGAGAGGGATCTCACAAGTGCGTAGAGTGTGGGAAATGTTTCAGGTCACTCTCTGCCCTTGTGTCACATCAGAAAATCCACACAGCCGAGAGACCGCACAAGTGCTTGGAATGTGGAAAAACTTTCAAACGGCGATTCGACTTTGTTAAGCATCAGGCAATCCACACAGAAGATAGACCGTATAAGTGCTCAGACTGTGGAAAAAGTTTCATACGTAGATCTGACCTTGTTAACCATCAGCCAATTCATACAGGAGAAAGACCCCACCGGTGCTTCCATTGTGGAAAAAGTTTTACACATAGGTCAAACCTAACTCAACATTTGGCAACCCACACAGGAGAGAGACCCCATCAGTGCTTAATCTGTGGGAAAAGTTTCACACAGAGGTCAGCCCTTGTTTTACATCAGAAAGTCCACACAGGAGAGAGACCCCATAAGTGCTTAGATTGTGGAAAAAGTTTCAAAAGGAAGCCAGAACTTATTCAACATCAGGGTATCCACACAGGAGAAAGACCTCACAAGTGCTTAGACTGTGGAAAAAGTTTCACGCAAAGGGCAGCCCTTTTTACACATCAGCCAATCCACACAGGAGAAAGACCTCATAAATGCTTGGACTGTGGGAAAAGTTTCAAATGGAAGTCTGGCCTTGTTTCACATCAGAAAATCCACACGGGGGAGAGACCCCATCAGTGCTTAGACTGTGGAAGAGGTTTCATAAGGAGGTCAGATCTCAATAAACATCAATTAATCCACAGAGGAGAGGGAAACGATAAGTGTTAAGTTGTGGAAAATCTTTCATATGGAGAACTGACATTCTTAAACAACAGGCAATGCACACGGGAGAGACAGCTCATAATTGCTTTGACTATGCAAAACAGTTTCATATGGAAGTGAGCCTTTGTTTCACATCAGAAAATCCACACGGGGGAGAGACCCCATCAGTGCTTAGACTGGAAAAAGTTTCATAAAAATATCAGCAACCCTTGTCAAACATGATGTAGTCCACACAGGAGGAAGATCACAAAAGTGCTTCGACTGGAAAAAGTTTTATGTAGCGCTCAGCCCTTCTTAGTCCATCAGGGCGTCCACATAGGAGAGAGAGTTCATCTGTTTGAGACGTTTGATCCGGAGCTCAGAGGTTTGAAAACGAGCACTTCAGAGAGGAGAGAGACCCCATGAGTGTTTGGACTGTGGGAAAGTTTCATTGGGAGGGCAGATTTTTTTAAATGTCAGTCATTCCACGCCAGAGTTTGACCTTAGGAGTGCTTGGGCTGTGGGAAAGGTTTCAGAAAGAGCTCAGCCTTTCTCAACGTTACGCCGTCCACACTGGAGAAAGACCCTGGAAGTGCTTAGACTGTGGGCTATATTTCTGAAACGGATCAGTCTTTTGTTTTACATCAGGGAATTCACACAAGTGGGAGCCCCCCCCCCCCCCCCCCCCCCCAACTTTGACTCTTGTACACTATGGATGTGAGTGAGTAGTCAACTAAAAATTAATCTTGTTAATCTAGTCGACTGCTCGACTACTTGCATTGCCTCCCTCCTTGCTGATGCTGCATCAGTCAGCAAGGGGGGGAGCAGGAGCCGGTGCTGGGGAGAGGCATCAGAAGCATCAGCGTGGGTGTGGGGGTGCAGGGCAGCTTACCTGCCCACCCTGCTCTTACTGCATTTAAGCTGCAGAGCCGCAGCAGCAGTAGCTCCTGGGCCCAGCGTGAGCTGGGACTGAGCGCTTCCTCCCTTACCGACTGATCGGGTGGTTGATAAAAATTCTATCAACTACACGATGAGCGAATTACCCACCTTGTAACATCCCTTCAGCATACCCAGCGTTTTGCCCTTCAAGACCCCGAGCCATACCTAGCAAAACGTCACTATAAAGTGATCATTGTACTTGGTATGCTGTGTTGCAACTGAAAGCAGTACATTTGAAAATGCATAGCCATCCAAGAATATTTAAATAGATGGTATTTGATTATTTTTTAACAAATATATAATTCATAGTTCATTTTTTAATCACTTGCCAGCCCTAGAAGATAGCAGTTGTAGTAATCCCTCTTTACCTATATTTTGTTGCTGTCTCGGAATGTATTTTGTTAATTTACAAATCAAAAGGAAATATTAATGTTTAGATTATACTTAGGTGTGATGATGTCACTGTATGTACATATCTCTTTTTAAAGTTGGTGGTAACCTGCCTATGACCTGCTTTAGGGATCATGATGGGAATCCATGTAGTCGAATTCCCTGTGATGGGAATAGAAGGTTACTTCCAACACCTGTTGTTCACCTGAGGCTTGTGTGGTGTTGAGAGGCTGCAAAAAAGTCTATACAAACTCTCGGTACCTGATCCTTTTATCTCAGACCTTCTCTAGCTTTATTTGGGGGGAATCGGGGCTGTAAGACTAAACTCTCCCCTCTCGTCTGGACTGCCCGGTGTGATGGCGAGTCGGGGTTCCCCCTCATCCTGCAGCCCCATAGCAGCAAGAACAGACTCCAAGGCTACGTCTACACTGGCATGATTTTCCGGAAATGCTTTTAACGGAAAAGTTTTCCGTTAAAAGCATTTTCGGAAAAGAGCATCTAGATTGGCAGGACGCTTTTCCGCAAAAGCACTTTTTGCGGAAAAGCGTCCGTGGCCAATCT